GATCATACAGAGTCTGCATGTGGTGACATCAACCACATGGAAGACATGAAGAAAAAGTGGGTTTCGAACAATTCCTCAACAAAATATTGTAGCATAACCCCAGTTCGAGGGGAAAGTAGGTTGAAAGGAATTCGTGATGCGGCTGCACCGGAAACCGAAGGAGGATTGCCGCGTAGGGAAGACTCTTGAATTGCGTGAATAAGTCTTCCACGGAAACTGTGCCAAGCTTTCGTCTGTACCACCGCGACAGACATCGTCGGAGCAAGATTCCCATCTCTGGGATTATTGTAAATCATGGAGATGGCGTGATGAACGAAACAGTACGACGTAGATGTGGTCAGGTGAAGCAAATCTGCCAAACTGGTGAGTTTTTAACGGAAACACTTACGACTGTAAAGTCGGTTGATGATGAGACGATAGAAAGGGACGATTTGGTGGTAAGTTGTGATTATTTACAATAGTCCCAGAGGGTTGCAGCCGGTGAACTTTTCGCTTGGTTCGGTGCATTTTTACTCTATTTCGTAGGGTATGTAATCTTGCTTTGATGATGTCTGTCGCGGTGGTACAGACGAAAGCTTGGCACAGTTTCCAAGGAAGACTTATTCACGCAATTCAAGAGTCTTCCCTACACGGAAATCCTCCTTCGTCTGCCGGTGCGTCCGCATCACGAATTCCTTTCAACCGACTTTCCCCTCGAAATGAAGAGTCATGCCAGCGTAGACGACATGTAACAAGAGATGGGCAGATTGAGGGTATAGTATTTCGAAGCAATTGCCCATTAGGATTAGTAGACAAATACACTTCCATTGTCAGAAATAGGATGAGTGAATTTTGTTGTCTGCAGGGAGATAGGCAATTGTAAGCTTGCGAAAAAGTTCTGCCGAGGAAGCGGAACATCAGGACAATGTAAGAGGAGAAATTGACACTTCTTTCAGTAGTTCCTTGGTTTAGAGAATTTTCTGACCCTCATTTTGGCTTGAGGTGCTACGAGGTTTTGTTCTGATGTGATAATGTCAATGCGATGAGACCTGCCGACCCATTCAGAAGGGAATATGCGAACAAAAAGCTATTAAGAAGTCAGCCAACTTCCGGAATGGAAGAAACGAGTATAGACAACTTAGTAGGCTTAAGGAGAAGAGCTTACTTCCAT